TCGGCCAGCCACGGGCCCCGACGGCGGGAGCGTGGATGCGGCGACGTCCGCCGAGCCGGGGCGGACGCGGGGCGGCCCGGGTCGGGGACGCGCGTCGGGAAGGCTGGCTGGGCATCAGTCGCAGGATGGCCGAGGTAAGCGTGGGGCGGGCGCGGGGCCGTCTCCTCCCTCCGCCCGAGCGCCACCTGCGCGCCGGGTCCCTCACCGGTTCCCGAGTCCCTGTGCGCCGCACCCGGCTTTCCTGAATCTCGGGACCTCGGCTCAGCCGCTGTTTGCAAACTGACCAACCTCCACCTGGCTTGCTTCTCTGAGGGCTGAGTGGCGGAGACCCCGGGAAGAGACGCAGAGACACGCGGGGGGCACGGAGGGGCGCCTATCCCTGGGGAAGGGGGCGCAAAAAGAGAGAGAGAAAAAAAAAAAGGCCCGAGGCTTGGTAAATCGCCAGCTTAGACGTGCCTGATTAGGACGCTAGCTGAAGGTGTGGGAAGGTTTGCGGGCGTCCGAGTTGACTCGTCGCGCGTGGGACAGTGCGGTGCCTCTGACCACCAAAGGCGCAGGAACTTAAGAGTCGTAATGAAGCCAAAACCAAGGTCAGGTCTCTTTGGAGGTGGCTTTTCCAGCGGGTGACAGGAAGAGACCTGGGCGGCAGCAGCTGGGGCACCGAGAGTGCAGCGCCTGCTCCCCCCGCCCCCCCCCCAGCGCCGTGTGGGTTCCAGGTGCAGAGGTGGGCACGCGGGAGAAGCCGCTGAGGGGTCCCCCTGCCCCGGGGTCGCCAGTCGGACCCCGAGCCCTGCCGGCCGCCTGGCTTTGGATACGCTCCTGGGGATTTGTCAGCCAGATGTGACAAGATTGTGGAGAGGCGAGTGAAGGAGATCTGATATCAATCAGAGCATAGCTCCGAGCCAAACTTTCTCAAATGTGGTGTAGAAACATGTTCTTCTCATTTAAGGCATCTCTTTGTGGCTGTGGGGCTGCCACCGGCCCGAGTTTGACAGTTAAATGGAATGCCAACTAGCAGCCTTAATTGTACGAGTGAAGTTGTGTGTGTTGCGGGGAAAGATCAGACACTCGGGGGTTCGGTAATGTCCCCTAGTTTTATGACTGGGCTCACCGCAGACCTCTGAAGATGAGGGCATTTAAATCGGCCAGACGCCTAGTCGCGGCCAGGCCTCTGCTGTTAACACTTAAGGGGCTTGAAAGAGACCCCATTGGTGTCCTGGGACTCCCTGTCAGAGGTAGAGGGATGTTGTGTGTGTGTGTGTGTGTGTGTGTGTGTGTGTGTGTGTGTGTTACTGCATGCAAACACAAATGTAGCAACATTAAAAAAAACATTCTCATTAAAAAAGTTTTGGCTTGACAGTATACGTGAATTGGGAAACAGCATTTTGGTAGATCCTTTTTATTTTCTTGGTGTCCTTTTATTCCTTGCTTATTGTCTCTAGTGTGCTATTAGAGTTTTCCGGGATCTTTTTGGGTTTCGTTTGCAAATTGATGTTTCTGTGTTCGAACATTGGTTTAGTGATAAATGTGCAGACTTCTCAATTGTCCCTTCCCAAACGCGGTGATGCACATTGTTAAGCTTTCATTAAAATTACGTATGTCAAAATGAAATTTTGCACACATATAAAAAAAACTTAACTTCATTTGTTAAATTTGTGTTGAATTTGATTTTAGCTTTAAAAAGATTTAGAAAGATAACTGCCTCTCGTCCCGTAAGGAATTTTGATAGCATTTCTTTTTGGCTGTCAGAGAGTTAAAGAGTAAGATATGAATCTTCATTTGTTTTGCTGTCTTGATAAGTTTGCAAACTTTAATTTCACACTGAAACTGTCACTCTTGCGCCCAGCTGTCGGGAAGCAGAACTTGTTTCTGTTGTAGTTGGTTGTTAGATGCAGTGATGAAATCTTCACTTAACATGTGTGCTCTTCAGACCTTGGGAACTCAAAATTGCATTCAGAGAGCTGCATAATTTAATTTGTAATATCATCTGTGCCCATGCAATCCCTTCATATTGGTAAGGATTTCGTAGCATTCCTCTCTTGTCAGTCAGAAAGTTGTTACTAATGTGAAGTTGTTTGACAGTGGGTTTCTACTAGGATGTACCACAGGTGATCTGTTATGGTGATAACTCACATTAGAGTAGTTGCCTTAGAAACATGAGGTGTATACAGAGGGTGATTTGGTTTTTATTACACCTCCCTCTTACAGAAGTTAGTCCTGTATCCCAGGACCATACCCACATTCTGTACCTCAGGATCTTCAGCTTGGAACGATGCTCCAACCCCACAGTGAGAAAAGCCATCTAGGTTTCTAATTGACTCTGAAGCACGCATTTGTCATTTACCAATGCCGAGCAATAAATATAAACAGGGAAATATTTGAAAAGTTTGGTTTGTTGGTAAAATTAAACTGCAGTCTATGGGGAGGGGAATTCTGCCTTTGAGCTTTTGTATATGGGTTTAGAAGTTATTTTGACAGTGGTCATTAAAAGGACTTGCCCTGAAGGTTCTGCAAGGTAAATTACTTGTAGGAGAAGTGTGCTTCACCCCAGGGTGAGTTTTTCTCTTTACAGATGGCATGAGCTAGTTACTTTTGTCAGAAATAGTCCACTTAAAAAAGAACTTGAAATAAATACCCTACTACAGGCGTGGCTCCATACTGAGCCACCTATTTGTTGTTTTGATATCTAAGATGAAATTTGTTTTTTATTTTTTGGTAAATTACCTTGTTGTGAGTATTCTTCTGTGGATATTTTATGTGTTTATTGTTGTTGGCTTACCCAAGAGATGTTAAAGAAAACTAGGTTCTGCATAGAAGAAACATCTGTCTGGGAAGTTTTGGGATCTCCCTTTTAAGTTGGTTTCTATCTGGAAACCTTTTTCTGCTTATCTTGCCATCCTTTGACATTTTTCCCCAATTCTGGAATTTTCAAGATCGCACCATTCTACACACACACACACACACACACACACACACACACACACTCATGCACATTTTAGCCAAAGAAGGTGAGTGCAGACAGAAGCAGCCTGGCTTCTCCAGAGTCCAGTGTGGGGCCTCCTCAGAGACATAAGCTGTCACCGTTCTGTCCACACTTGGACTCTTCATTATAAACCAACCCAGCAAATGACAAGAGGACTCTATATAAAGGAAGGTGACAATTTCCACTAATGTGAAGGAGGAGAGAGGTTAGGAAAATAAAGATAAAATGTGAAGGCTGGGTTCAAACAGACCTGTGTAAAAGAAAAGTTACTCCAGTGAACTCTAATTTAGGCTTTTAAATGTTTTTGTCCCCTCTTGCAGATTATGCCATCATATACTGAAACTTGAAAAATTATTTTCTAGCTCTTCACCAGTAACTAGAAGCATTGCCCTTGTTCCATAGCCCTCTGATTGTTTCTTGAAATATGAAGTTCAAACTTTCCTACCTCAGTGACATTTCGTAGTGCACCATGTTGCTTTTAAAGTCAGGGGGGGATCCTGATGGTGTAATTAGCTAAGACTGAGCTTATTTTTTCAAAAAGTCAGTTTCTACTTCTTGGTAAGTTCCTAAAAGAGTTTTATTTAGGCATGTTTACACTTTGACTTTTATTTTACATCAGCATTAATAGCAAAGTTGCATGTAACAGGTAACTGGCTACCTTAGCTAAAATTCTAAAGTTAAGTTTCTTGTCTGTTTCTTGCTTTGTATCCCCCCCCTTGATTCTGTTACACACCATTAATATCTTTTTGACTTATATTATCAAATGCTTCTGAAGATTCCTTCTGATGTCTCCCAAATATAGATTATAAAAGTTATAAATGCCCATATCATTTCTATTTCTGTATAATTTTAAAAATATTTTAAAGACGAAATAGTTTGGTTTTTAACATATTTGTGTCTTTTCTACTATTTTCCACATTTTCTGTTTTCAAAACTAATAATTTTAAGGGGAAAAAAGGTGGAGATGTTAAGTTGTTTTGGCATTGGATTTATGCTTTGATTTATAACATCAAAGAACAAGTATTTTCCCCATTATGCTCTTTGAACTAAGCAGCAATAGAGCCTTACAGATGTGCTCACAGGTAGATTTACTCCAACATCTACCTGAAATGGCTCTACCTCCCACCTGACTTTTCTGCAGTCCTGTCTCCATGCCCGCATTATCTCTGGCCTCTCCTCACGTTTGTTATTTGCTGTGAGACGCTGCAATCTGTCAGTTCTCCTTCAGTATCATTTTTTACATTGCTAATGCTGACTGCCTGCTTCCTGAGGCTCCCCAGATCCCTTCTTTCAATCCTGATCCTCGCTTCTCATTTTGGTAAGCAGTGTCTCCCCATTGCTCAGAAACCTAATGTTTCTAGTAACCCAACAGAGAGTTTCTGATTGTCCCATCAGGTTACCCCTTAACCCCACCCTAAATTGCTTTACAAGGTTGACTATTAGTGGCCAGGTAGACATTTGTCCTTTGTGGCCCAGGCTTCTGGACCTGACACACATGAGCATGATGAACCTTTCTTTGTGCCCAGATCCAGGATATTGCCTGCACACAGAGTGTGCCAACTTTCTGAAGAGAAGCCTCTTCTGCCCTCCTTACAGCATTGTCCATCTGTCAACTCACCCAGACAAAACTTTTGGAGGAAATGGGAGTCTTGACATAGTTTCCTTTTTCACATTTTATTACAGAAAATTTCAGATAATCAGAATTAGAATAATTTAATGAAGTTTGGCAATGCATGTTTGGGACTTCAGTAGTGATCTTTTGGGCAGTTCTTCATCTATATTCCCTGACTCCTACCCATTCACTCCCAGGTTATTTTGAAGTAAATTCGGGGTGCCATACAGTGTCATTGAAAATATTTTGAATTGTAGTTGTAAAACACAAATGCACCCCATTTAAAAACAAAAGCAGTATACCATAGAGCATCTTAAAATCACTTGGGGTATAGCTCAGTGGGAGAGCACACACATGTATAAGGCCGTAGGTTCAGTCTCTAACAAAAAATAATAGTTGATTATAATGATTCTTTAATGCCATTAAATTTCCAAACAGTTTTCAAATTTCCTAGATTCTTATAAATTATTACCACTGGTTTGTGCAAATTAAGAGCCAAGTGTAGACATTGTCTTTTTAACTCTAGTTTTATAGTCTTTTTTTCTTGCCATTATCTGTTGAAAATGCCAAGTCAGTCATCCTTAGAGTTCTCCCCAGTCTAGATTTGATTATTACTTTCTTGTGATAGCATTTAAATACACGTCTGTCTCTTGTATTTTCTTAAATGGGAATTGATCAAGAAGCTTGATCAGATACAGGGTTATATGTTTTGCCAAGAATACCAGATGTGTGATGGTGCTTATCTTCCCGCCAGAAGTAGATGGCCTAGTTGTTGCCCTTTTCATTAGGAGCTATGAAATGGGGGCACAGTAGTTCTTCTTTGATTGACTCACATTCAAGGAGAACCTCTCTCATCAGTGACTTGGCTACCCTGCAACACAGGTTGTATAGGAAAAGAGTCATATTTCTTTCTTTCCCTTCCTTTACTGGTTTTCAGAATATTTGGTTTCCTGACATGCTCTAAAGGTGGCCAGTGACTTTTATACTAGTTTCAAGTATATTTTGGATTCTTAGGTTTTCACAGAGTAAATAGTAATACATGCTAAGCTTTTAACAACCATATTCTCTGCTGTTTCTGACCAACCTATCTGTGTGACTTCCCAGTGGCACCATGTACCCCCTGCCCATAGCAGACCCTAGTCTCAATCTTGCATCTCCTGAAGTGCTCTGTGGTTCCCAGAATGTGGTTGAAGCTTATAAAACAAAGATCAACTTTTAAAATAAATGGTTATCATTTTGTTAAAGCTGTTTATGTAAGATGATGGCATGATGTGTTGGTGGGATGAGCATCTGGTCTGTGTGCTTCTGAGGTGGGCTTCAGTTCAGTGCTGTCAGCAGCAGACTAAGCTACCTCATACAAAAGGGCCTCAGGAGTTTCCCTCCCTTTTGTTCCCAGTTG